TGAGAGTTATTTATTTATTTAACTTCATTTATACACAGATAAAACATCAGGACTTAAAGTAGTTACTAAAATTGCATTAATTACATTGTTTAATTAAATCTAATAACAACAAAATAAAAACAATAGCGAAGTGCCTGCTTTCCATGAATGTTGTGTGATTAATTAACTTATTTATTATCAAAAAGGAAACCCCTGCAGCCGGATTTAAAACTAGTACTAGTTTGTGCTTGCCTCAGATTAGTAGGTAAGATAATTTAAGTAAATGACTGGTAAGCGCTAAAATTAACCACCTACAAGGTACTTAGTGGAACACGCTGTGGCCCAATGATTAATGCGCTGGAGTCTGGGTTCGAGAGCTAGCCGGGTCATCTTGTTCGGTTCTTGATCAAAATACTTTACTATCACAGTGCCTCTCTCCACCCTGAAGAACCAGCACCCCAATCCAGGGGGGAGGGGTAGTACTCCTACTCGCCTCACGCTAAGGAAACCAGGATAAGCTCTGGCAAGGTACAGACTTTGCTTTCCTTTACAAAGTGCCATTGATTATAACATCATTATAGCAAAATCTACAAATTAGAATAGCATCCCTTAAAACCTTAGGCACACAAAATGTTGTGCATAGATAAAATTTTCAAAAGTTAAAAATTATGATCGACGAAGACAGCTGGAGGCCTTAGTTGTTTACACAGGATTAACGGCGAGTTACAAAGTTAAACGCATATCTTCCCATGAACACGCTATATTCTATAAATATTCCTATTAATTTTCTTTTTGCCGGTGAAAATTAAGATCAGGTAGTAGTTACTATTCCTTCTCGTCCGAATGCTGTATCTTCACGCCAACTTCAAGCCCAGTCTCTTCAAAAGGCCCCTTACCCGCGGCCATCGTCTCCTGTATGGGTGACGCCTCTTCTTTGTAACTTTCACTTGCTTCGGTGGAACGGTCGTTTTCGGCTTGAAGTGGCTCTCCTTTACCAAATTCTTGTTGGAATCTCTCGTCTTCGCCCACTTTTCTTATGTCCTCGTCCTTCACTTTTTGCGCTTCTCTTGATACTTGCGTCTCTTGCACTGGCTTTTCCTTTTTAAATTCTTCAAAACCTTCCTCCTGAAAAGGGAATTTGCCTCCATCTTTGCTCTGCTCTTCAGTCTCGACCTTCGATTTCTCTGTTTCTTGTAAGGGCGTCCCAGCGGACGACAGACTCTGAACATTTATCTCACCAGATGCAGGTATTGGAAAATGATGAGTTATCATCTCTCCCGACGTAGACTTGTCTAGGAGAATAAAAATTGCCATGACTCTTGCCGTTTCTTAGTTTACAGCTATAAAACTGAAGTTCACACCTTCCTATTAATCGTACAGTATAGTAAGGTGACTTATTCTTATTGCTCTAAAATTGTGCAATCCGAGATAGCGGCAGTTATACTCAAATATCGCACGCGAACCTAGAATTAAGTTGGTTTATAGCCACAGTACATTAATTTCCTTCTGGCACTCAAGGGAGTCAACACTGCCAGTTTCATAGGATACTTAGGAGACGTTTTTTCTTCACCCGCAATAGTAATTAAGATGCCGCTCACTTCGACTGTTAGACTGTTGATTAACTTAAATAATGAAAGGTAACTAGCCACGATCTTGAAGAAGGTCTCAAAAAGTAAAATAACAAAAATGAAAATAGAAAAAATCACAAGAAACAATAACTTTCAGCTGTAGGGCAAGAATTTCCTCCTACAGCAAAATATTGCGGTAAAAAAGGATAGGTAAATACAAAAACACCTTCAAAAAACCTCACCAGTTGTAAACTGCAACGTCCCTTCTTCTCCAAAAATTGCATTGATGATCTGCGCATTCAACGTTATGTTTGCTAAAGATCACAAAAATACAAAAAAGACGCTTTAGAATGCAGTATTGCCACCAGATTTCACATGTATTCGGCGCTTTTTTTCTGTTAACAGTCCAGACTTATATTAAAGTTCACACGTATGCATCATAAGAATCATCAGGGTACACTACGTTCCAAATCTGGATACGAAGATGTTGATTTTCAAACAAAGAACAAGAACAGTTTTAATCTTTGTTCCACGCTCATTACGATGAGTTTCATAGATAACCGTAAACAAGACAATAAATATCCTGTACTTACTAACTCCATGTCGTTTTCCATCTAAAGAAGAACTGTTCTCGGGTTCACCCTCAGAACGGCTACCAGAAGCCTACATGTAAAAGTTGAAACGAAAGAAATTTGAAAGGTTGTGTCTCTGTATCAATCATATCCTTGGATTTCTTGAGTTTGGTTTGAAAGTTTTTACTACGTACTGAAATCACCCAAATATTTAGGGCAGGCATGAAAGTAAAACAAACCAAGGTTACGAATTTAGGGTGAAGTTCAGAATTTGGATTGATTGCACTCGAAGGGATTTGCATCTAGTTGCCTCAGGATATCCAACTGTGTATGTAGCATTGGAGCTTGAGAATCAATTCCTCGAATAAGCGCCGTGCCACGGCCGCAGCGATTATTTAGTCCCAAATGTCGTGCTCATTGGAGTGAGGCGCTTACTCGGGGGGCGGAGGTTACTCACTAAACGTAGGAAACACTGTATCTCGTGTTACGTTCATAACTCAAATTCGGAAGAAATTGAACGACAGCATAACAAGTGCTTATATTACAGTTAACACTTCGCGTGTTACTTACAGTTACAAATGGAATTTCTTTAACGAGACAATCCTTCTCTTTCATGAACTTGACGATAGCCTGGCAAAGAAAGGAATACCTCATCACTTTTCCTTCTTGTTAAGTTTAACCATTCTCTTTGTTATGAAGTTGTGTTTACATACCAAACAAAAGCCAAAACATAACACCAATAATAAGTTTTCCTCTAGGAGGAATATCATCCATTTCTAACCAGCTAAAGGTCAAGAAACTCAAACACATTTGTCATAGGATAACAAATATAGCTGATTCCAAGTTTTTCTGAGCATCTTGGTGGAACGCTCATCTATCACGAACTACCCTCAACAAAACCGCCTACATACAGAAAAAACAAAACAAAAAACAAAGTGCATTACATCATGCTGCCTTGATAATTACATTCTTAGGTGGAGTATGCACAGTAATAAAGAGATTTCCTGCCCTAGAACTTGGTAATGGGACTAAAAACCTGATTGGTTTATCAGAAGTCCACAACAGTGACCGTAAGTCACAGACCACCCAACTATCTGTTGCGAGATTAAGAATAACTCAACACACCCTCCAGACTGGTGACCTATACTCCAATTGAGCTTGATTACCAAAGAGATACAAGCCACAACGTGCTCGTGAAATTGCCACACAAATACGATTCTTTTGTGACAAAAAACCAATCTTGTTCTCATTGTTACTGCGGACCAGAGAAACGAGAATGATGTCATTTTCCTGCCCCTGTAGAAGAAAATGATTAGGTGTAATAAGAACCTCATTCTCAAACGTCGTAGATAGTTCTTTTTTAAAATTTTCCGTTCCTTTCACTTCAAAGCACCGCATTTGGTACAGAATCTCTCCGGGATCGCGAAGGTGATGGATTCGAATCACATTATATCCTTTAATTGTTTGCCGAATTGCTTACACTAGTTAACTCGTTACACTTTCTTCAATGATGCCATAAGATTTTAGTCATATCAATTTATTACCACGGAGTTTGAGAAGTTTAGATGCCTCGGGACCACACTAAGGAAAGGATTTTCAACTGAAAATGATAAATGTTTTTAAAGAAGTTAACCATTGTTCTATTTCACATTGATAAAAGACATGAGAGGAACTTTCCATACCTGAAAAGCGTCTATCGTCGTCACCTCAATCTCACCCATTTTCTCAACATTTGTGGATTGGAAGAAATCTTTTATTTCAGTGACCTGCAAAAGGAGTATATCACCTTAACAATTAGAACAAGATAAAAAAAATGGCCAGTGGTATCCTGTAGTTATCAGTCCAGTGGGGATATACATAGATAGAGCAATTGGTACCCTAAATAACCTCCTGAAAGCAATGTAATATTATTTGTTCTCCTCGACAGTGTTCAAGAGTTTTGACGGACCCCACCCCTCTTAGTTTGTGACACTTGCGAGTACTACCAAATAAGGTAAAAAACACGTGTGAGCAAAATCAGACAACCGGACACGACAAAAATTGAGAGTTTTCAGGGAGAGAGTTTTCTAGAATTTATTCTAATTCATAAGTCTTCTTAGTGACTTATTGTACGGAGAATAAACATGAAAACGAAAAAGAATCTGTGAGTTCTGTGTACCGTTGCGATGAACGGCTCATCAGCAACAATAGGGGAAAGCGATGCTTCAAAGGTGGGAATCAGAATCGCCCCCCACCAGCCTTGCACCATGTGTGCTAGCTTGTCGCCATTTGCTTGTAGTCAGTGTCTAAAGGGTGATATGGTAGATGGTGCAGTCTTCGTCTTCCCCCCAAAAAGGCAAACACTGACAAATACATTGCAATTCGATCAGGTATCTGAGAGTCAAACGGTAGCACTTGCAACTGTGTACAATGCTTGGTCTTCGATGTATCATAGCTATCATCCTACATGAGGTGATGAAAAGAAGGTATTAAACAAACTTTGCTGAACATGTCATGGTCGTTTTTTTTAACATAAAGGTTGTCACAGAAGAATATTTACCAATCAACCAATCAAAATGCTATCACATGTGCTCGTAGTGCTGGCCATTTCGAAAACCAGCTAAGTAGCCCCCCCACCCCCCCCCCGCCCATTTTCTTTATTTCACAATTCCAAATCATTAAACAATAGGAACTTCTCGCACATTTTTAAACAACTGGGATTTGTAGCCTCCTTAATTTACAGAAAAGTTTTATCTTAATGAAAAGAACACCATTCAAAAATAGAAATGGGGTTTCCAAGTTCATTTTAGGTTGCTAACTTTCATAGATAAAAATAAGAATGTATTTAACAGGTTATAATGTTGTTATGATGGCTTAACTTGAGTTAAGTAACAAGGACAGTCATAATATGATTTACAAAGATTGGACATTTTAATACGAGTATTTCACCATCACCAGACTCAGAGTAGCAATAATGGTCAATTAAAACTACAGAGCTGTAAACTGCTGTGACCCACCTAAACTTTGCAAAGGATATCAATTTTATCACCATGTCCTCAGGATCAAATCATACTTCGGTTTTAGAGATTAAAAGCATCCGAAGTTCACTTGCCTGTCCTCGATATGCGCAAAGTACTGTAATTCTAGATGGATGAACTCCCTGTTGACAAAACGTTTTTGCAGCTTCCGTGATCATCCTGGCCTCGTGGACGTTTCGTTTGCTGTGGGAATCTTTTGATGGTTTCTCCTCCCTTGTGTGGCGGCAGAAGTACATGCTCTTCTCCACACAATGTGGAAAATCATTGTTGCGAATTAGCTAGAGAGGTAGAACGAATAACTGTAAATTTCGAGCTCTGTAACTCCGTGCAAAACGAGTTTTAACTCACTGTAGCTAAAGGAGTGATTTAAATCCAGCAAGGAGGGAAAGGGTTTGGCAGTAAGGTTAATAAACAGAGGGAATCGTTAACGTAAGTAACACAAAGAATTTATGTTTTTTTAAACCCCTAAGAGCGCCGATTCTCTCCTAGCCTCAGCAGGGCAAGCACTGGCAAATAGGTGTCCTCCACCCGCGAAAAGTAATAACCTTCAATTAGATAAACTTTGTGCGAAAGCCATTGTCCACTTCGGTCCATACTTTCCAGCATTTACCTCCGTCCTTGTTTTAAGCTCCTTATAGATTTTTAGCCTTCGGAGCAAATCAACAATGTCGTCTCTCATTCGGCATTGATACTCAAGCTGCTTGAAAGGAATGTTGCAGTTCACAAGTCTCTCGAACATGGAGACATCAAGGTTATTAGTCTTTCGGAGTCTGGGGTTTTGTACCACAGGTTTCAGCTGCTGATGATCACCAATCATGATAAGGTGTTGAACGGATGGCGGGATAGCTGCCACAAGTTGTCCCTCTAAGATTTCGGCAGCTTCTTCTACTATCATAACTGATGGCTTTATTTCCTCTGAAAGTATATTAAACAACAGCAAATGAACTGTAGGTGGAAAGGCATTACAATCATTCAGAACCATACGTAGTGAGCGAAAACTCCATTTTCACCATAATTTTAATCCCGACAATAAAAAGTCAGTGAAAAATGAGCCCAACTTCACACTCTGTCAGTGCTTTCGGTTTCACATCTCAAAAAATTCTCACGAATCAGTCGAAGTGAAAGCATGATATGTGACTGAAATGACATTCGCGAAGTTACCGAATTCCCGCCAGTTTTTAAAAAAATCAATGTTTGGACATTGGGTAATTTAAAAGAGCTAGTTGATAAACTTAAATAATTTTTGTATGTTTCCAAGGACTATGCCGTGATGACATGTCTGATATGACATATCTGAGAACATCTGGCGCATCCTAAAACCCTTCAATATCCACGTCGTCCACAAACCCATCACTATACTACGTCAGTTACTGACAAACGTCAAGGACAAGGACGAACCGAGGAACAGACAGGGAGCGGTTTATAGAATCAATCGCTCCGACTGCCACGCCTCCTACATCGGCGAGACTGACAAAAACCTCACAACAAGACTGACTAAACACAAGCCAGCTACGAGGAAAGGTGATTTCAACGATCACATTGCTGAACACCATCGACTTACTAAAGACACTATTGACTGGGACTCTGCGCAGTGCCTAACTGACAGTACCAACTACTTTCAACGACTAACTCTGGAAAGCTGGTTTGCAACCATAGAACAAATTGCCCTCAAAAGGTGTCAACCTCTACCGGCACCATACAAAAGACTCATGCATGACATTAACATTACAAATGAAACGAACAGAACGACCTGACTTTACCGACAGATCGATACCGACAGATCGAAACCGACCGATCGCAACCGACTTACGGCACTTGAGTCTTACAGCCGATAACATCACGGCAAAACTGATTAATCAGTTTATACGAACCGGACTTAGAGCAATTGACTGACAACAACTAATGATTCTCTTGACTCTGGTGATAACTTCCGCTCAGGTTGTCGAAACGTCAGTCACCACTACCGACAAAAATCCTTCTCAAGATTACACTAACCCGGACGATCACACCACACTATCACAAAGTCTATGCTATATGTGAAGTATCCTAAAATTGGAAAACTAAACATACAGTCTGAAGTTGATTAGGAGATGAAATGAACTTGCACCAGCACTACCACCAACATATTCACATCAATAACATCAACAACAACAGCAACAACAAATACAACGTGTTGTTAGTTTACCCAGCAGATTGGCTCTCATGGCTGCACCAGTCACTGTCATACCAATGATTTCACATTGCCTCATCACATCGATATCATGTTTATTTCTCAACGTTGTATACTGGTGATGTTTCTGTGGATAAGTTCAACAGTAAAATTTAGAGAAAAAGGAAAGGCGCACAGCCAAGTTAATTGTCCTTGAAAGACACTCCCTACCTCACCAAGTATAAGTGCATAAATGAAATCATAAAAAACCTAGCTACAAGAGCGGTAAGAAAATTTCAAAATAATGAGTTCGCTCTTCACTAAAGGGGACCCTGAAACGAAAATAAGTATTCGAGACAAATGGGTCATTGTGCGGAATACATATTCGGTGTTCAGGGTACAAAGAAGAACTTGTTTTTATGAGGACGAATTCGCTGATAGCCGGACCAATTTCACGTGAAAAGATGGGGTTACACACCTTTTTTCATCAATTTGGCTCTTTTTACAACATAATGTACTACTTACAACGCATAAGCTCTCTGATAATCCATTACTAATGATGCTATTTTGTTTATATACTGATAGATGACCAACTAAATAGAACAGGATGTGTCAAATCTGGGCATTTTTCTTCGTTTAAGGGAGACTATCATGATCACTGTTAAAAGATGTTTTTGAAACTACATCTTTTTGTGGCTAAGGGAGGAATAAAACATTAGGTAAAAGATATCCAACAAGGTTTTTTCTAGTTGACGTTATTACTGTCACAATTGAAGCTTGTGTTTTACCTCCTGGGCCTCCCTGCTCACATCAAGAAACTCCATACGGGCCCTCTCAGCATACAAGCTTTGAAGAGCATACACTAGCTGAATCCTTTCATGGTGATTGAGAACCCAGATATTTCTTTCATCTGAGCATATTATGGAGGGGTCAACTTCTGGCAAAAGATCACATTTACGATAATAACAATGGTTTCAAACATAACATTCTAGTATGGAAAAAATGCCATTTTACATGCACGCCATGTACAAAATCGGTATCACGGTAGAAAATGGGATGTTCTGATCTGGTTTATGACCATTATAGTGGTTTCTCAATTACCAACTATTTAATTCTCAGCCTGGGATATTGTATTTCAAGCGTTCTCATTGGTTAAATCAATCTTGCTCACCAAATCATATACCAAAGTCTCTCCATGTATGGAAAATGATTGCACCAGATGTTAGACAAAGGTTAGTCTTTTGAAGATGCTATAAAGGTTAGGTTACATCTATAAGACGCCAATAAATATCTAATAGGAAATTTCCGAGTTCCAGAGAACTCTCACATTCAAAACGAAGCTAAATGCCCAACCTTTCTAGAGAAAATGAGTTTTGCTGGCATGATAGTGAAATATTATTTTCATGTCGAAGGCTTCGTACCTCGCTTCGTCATCAAAAAGAGACACTTTGATGAGAAAACAGAAGCTGTATATACTTCATATTTTTTTTTTTTGCAAATTGCAATTTTTTTAAAACAGGTATTTGTATTTATCAAATTTAAAAAAAAAGGGGGAACTTAAAACGATAAAACTCACTTCCCTCATCCATGAGAATAAGTTTTCGTTCTCCAAATGAGTCATGTGTGCTGGTGTCAGAAATGTCTTGCGTATCATCAGGAAACTCGTACTCTAAGGCTGAGGAAATCCGCTCATCTTCCTCCACAGAAGGCTCTCTGAAGTCATCGGGGTTTTCCTGTTCTTGATCCAGTTTTCGCTTTTTAGTTCTGCATGCAGCAAAGCGGAGATCAACATTTTCACTAAATAAATAAGATCTCAGACCTAGCTTAAGACTTCTTTCAACAACCAGGTTTTGCAGCTCTTAACTTGTCACTGAGAAAACAAGAAACAGTTATCAACAGCTAGTATAATGGCACAGAAATCACAATGGCCTCGTGTTTTGCCGTAAGGAGACGAGTTGAAGATCTTGGGGCAAAATAGTGAGCGTAGGGTGAACGTGCTATATTTGATGGGGCGCACTGGCAGGGGGTGAACTTGCGATGGAGAGAAACGTCAATAAACCACTCTTTCTACTACGAATTAAGTGTATAATCACTCAAAATAAAGTATGTAAGGCGTCTTAAGTTAAAATTTAAAAACGTTTATATGGTCAGATTTGATCCACGATCCAGCATAGTCTACTTTACGATTAACTGTGGACATTTAAGAGGCGAATGTTGTAAAGAAGGTGGTATATTAACATTGTAAGACGCCTTATACAATAGACAGATTTGATACAGAGATCTGGAGTACAGTATGAGCACATTGTTTTTCATGCGCCAGATGAAAATGTTCCGTTGGTAAACAGTTCAACTGAGAAGATTTTTGCTTCACGGCGAAATAGAAACACGTGACGTGATGTTTCTTCACTCACTAAGTATTCAAATTTTAAAATGAACTTTCTTCCCCAACTTATTCCCAAACAATTTCGAAGACTTGTCGAGTGCGTGCCAAAAAGATCGTCAGGCAAGCAAACGCTTGTGTAATGCTTTCACGGTACGGTTGTCATATGACACTGCTAAAAACATGGAGGCCGCTAAGATGATTAGACTGATTATAATGCCTGTATTTTATTGTACGGAATTCCTTGAATTAAGACGAAATTGACTTCTTGAGCGCGAGCTTAGACAATGGGCTATTTTACAGTTGTGTGCTTGGTTGCCAAGCCTCTGATTTGAAGTGAGGCTGAAGGTGACCTTGTTGTAAAAGGCTTGGCAACCAAGCACGCAACTGTAAAATGGACTATTGATAAAAAGCCAGGTGAATCACCTGTCGGCGTCTTGTCTCAAAATTCTGTCACTCTGAAAATCTATCGCAAGCCCCAACCGTTTACGAGGTGCGAGAATTCGCGAGAATCTCGCTGATGTAAGTTATTTTCTCAGTTAATTAAAATGACACCCGGTTTCTTATGGTAAATTCCTTCGGAGAGAAACGCGCTACGCTGCGCTTGTGTAGTTACAACCTCACTCCGTGTTTGTAATATCAAAGAGGAAAGCTGCAATCATTGCAAAACGTAGATAAGTTTTGTTTCGTTTCAGGTAGGCCAACAAACGTTCATAGATTTTTACTCAACTTGTGTCGCCACAAATTTTTCCTGTTTACCCTTTTCCTGTCTAATTATAATAAAAGAAAGCATCAAAAGTACCTTGTGCGCTCTGACTTTGCGTCAGTAACTGAATGTGACGGTTTGCTACTCGTTCCTGGGAATCCGTTCCCCCTGACAAACCGATCAAATTCTTCTTGTCCAGGAAGCCACTCCTCTAGTGCCTCTCTTAAAGAGAGATTTTCTTCAAAGCAAGGGAGTCAGTCAAATAAGGAAGGTAGTGATGTCACCAAAGAAACATGTTGGAAAAAAACATTAAATACTCGTCTCGACTCATTTTGAACTATTTTAGTGCTAACAAGTAAAAAAATTCAAATTTAAAGAACAACACTTCAACTGCGTTTTGCACTATATACCCAAACCATTATTGAAACTATTTCAGTTCTTTGACATACATCATAAATCATAAATCGCCGGATATTTCCCCTACAAAAATTTCAAGTTTTTCTAATATTAAAATATTCTTTGAGAAAAAAACATACAACATCTCGGAATCTAAGTCGGGAAAAGTAAGAAAGGTTTAACAAATGAAATATTCCTGCACCTTTCAAGTGAGATTTATATGACCCATCCATGTTTCTCTCTTTGAGTAGCTTATCCACCTCCGCTTGGTCATTTGATTCTATCAGGAGCTCCCTGACCTGTTTTTCAGTTACTGTCTTTAAAGAAAAATTTTTGGGGTGAACGTAGGTACGTTTTTTGCAGCTATTCCATAGGGCCACACAGCACAGTCTAAGCTTGAGGGTAGGATAACGCCATCCAACGGGAAAACTAATTTCTAGAGTGCATAAGTGTTCGAAAACAAACTATACTATCCGCCAAATAATTATCTAATCACATAGTAACATTACCCACCCTTCACATAATCAGAACTTAAAGTTGGGGAGAATTGTACGTCACTGGTATGAAATCAAAGCCCCATTGCCTTCCTGATGGAGTAATGAGGTGAAGGGTAAATGTACCATCAACCAACCGTCTTCCATCGAGTTTCACATGAACATGCATAAGGTTTATAATAACCCTTTGTCACTTGGAATAATTGAATCGCAAATTAACATCTTGAGGGGTACTTTAAAACATAGATCCACACCTGGATGAACATATCAGCATTAAAAACACAGGAACCCTGAAGCTTCGAGTATGCCTCTTTCACGTGATGTTGCATATTTTGCAGTTGACTTCTGAGTTTTTCTTTCTGCGTTTTGAGAACTTCAGACCACACAAACTTTGACTTTATCTATATGAAAATTGTCAAATCAAATATCATTAAAAGTTCATTACACACCTATGCAAAAATGCGCAGGCTTATTACTGGATGACCGCTCCTTTGCCCGCGAGTAGGTTTCAGACCCTGAGCAAAGAGAGCCGGCGAGAGGTCTACAAGGGGTCTGGTACAAATAACAAGTAGTAGTGCCAAAGCTTTTGTGGACCTCTCGCCGGCTTGCGAGAGGTCTCGCTTGAGGACCCATACCTCCACATGGGCGAAAAAACGCTCGTGCCGCAACGCTTTTAAAGAGGGACTGCTTGCTAGCTAGTGGCAATTAGCTTGCATTAAATTTCAACTTCACGTAAACTGCTTACTAGAAAAATATCGTGAAAATTCTCAAGTAAGGCAAGTAGAATAGACAAAATCCAGTAGTTGAAAGAAAAGGCTATGTTAAGCAAAACGTTTCAAAAGTTCACTGATCTATAGTTTCATCTGATCGGCGATGGTTGCAACAAATGCCAACAAAATTTTATCAGCAGTAACGTGCAGCAGCACCACTACGGACCCTCAAAGTACCACACGTGTTGAAACTACACAGATGCCTTGACCGAGTTGTTGAAAGCACATTTAGCACTAATCTTGATTTAAACATCATGAAAATTAATTATTTTTATGTATATGTAACCCAGGATTAGTGTCAATTAGGTTTCAAACAGCCAAGTCCAGGTAGATCCAAAAAATCTTACGTTAGACAAGAGACAGTCCTCCAACTTTTCTGATCTTGATGAGTTTCCAACACGGACAATTCTGGGCTTACGCGATAAATCTAGACACCCTTCCAAGAAATGGTCGACAGCGTCATTCTTGTAAGTGACAACCTTTGAATAGTCAAGTAAGAATAACAGGGTAAGAAAGGAATAAAAAAACATCAGTACGCTTATAGCCTTCAGAAATCAATCAAGTGGCAAACATATGAGATGTTTGGAACAGGTTGTCCTTTCACTCAAACCCTCACTGATCGTTTTTGTGGCGGCGTCAGCACAGGCTAACAAACCTTTTTTGAACATTCCATGCGATGTGTATGTCACACTATTTTTAGCTCTTACTTCAAGTTGTGAGCATTTTCATAACAATTACTGTTAAATGTAACACTACAACCTCTACACAACCGAAAACAATCTCCTGAAATAAATCTTTCTGAGTCACGCCTTTGTGAATTTTTTGCTAAAGACTCGGCACTACGTGAAATGTTCACTTTTTCCTTTTCCTGCCCCTCTTATTGTTTTATTCACAAGTACCAAGTCGTCGTAGTACATATCAATCATCTTTCGTTTCAAACACATGCAAAACGTTTCGTTCTCACATTTAATCCATTAATTGTATATAGCGCATCAGATCAAATATTGTCAGCCATAAGGGCGGACTCGAGAGAGAGAGGGGCATATGATAAATTTAGTCCGTTCATAGGAGGGGAACGGTTCAAAATCAAGAGGGGGCTGAACAGAGAGATTATGGAGTAATGCATTCTCAGTATACATTAAATACTTACAAAAATGGGTCCAAATGTCTTCGGTACATCCATTGACAATAACAAATGAACAAGAGACACACCAACAAAAGATTTCCCAGTTCCTGGAGGTCCCTGTATGAAAGATAAGAATTTGAGGATTCATATTGACCCTGAAAAGCCCCGTGGGGACATGTCAATAAACTATGTATGTATGTAACACATGTAGGCCATTTTAGTTCAAAAATTACAAAATTAGTGCAAGTAGGAATTCATTATCATCTCTCAATCAAACTACTCAAAGCATTATGCACGATGCAGTCAATGTTGGAAATTTGATCGTGGTTGCCAGTAGTAATACCATCAAACGTCTTTCTAGGCACGACTTGATCACGGGGCTGAGGGCATAACTGACCTATGTTGAGTTTTCGAATGTTTTCCACACTTTTTTCAGATTTTCTTAGAAATATAAGCATGGCATCTGCAAAACGTAAGCTGATGGCTTTTCTTCCTTGGTCGTTATTGTAACATTTTCTCCCATAAGTAATCCGTAATCCTCCAAAAACCTTTAAGATTTTATGGACAACCCAAAAATATCAACCAGTACTACGCAATCATACCTGAATTAAAGCCACTTTGTTCTTAAGTGCAAGGTCAATGGCATCGAGTTGTGTATCATCTAGTTTTGCCTTGATATTTGATAATTTTATCCTTTCAAAGTCATCCACAAGTGAGTACACTGAAGATTCCTCGTGGTCATGTGACTTTGGTGGAGACTCAAACATGATTCCCCAGTCAGGAGGAGCTTCTATTTTACGAACGTACTCAGCTTGACACATGTGATTGGCCTCTGGATGAACTAAGAAATCCTTGAATGGAACAGAATCTAGAAAATATCAGTCAAAAATTAATCATAAACGTAACTGTTGACAAAAACAAATACATCACAGTCTTGCAGGGCCTGTGATTCATTCATGGCAAATGCGAAAGATCTTTTTAGATTCTAACAACTTTTTTTAAAGAATTCCTACAAAATTCGCACTTAAAAGAGTCACCAGCATGAAGGAAATGGACAACTTGAAAATTACTGCCTCACAGTTCGCAAACTAAAAGCTTTTTAAACATATATGTATGTGTGTATGTATGTATGTATGTATGTATGCATGTACGTATGCATGTATACATGTATGTATGTATGTATGTATGTATTTATCCCAAAACGAGACAAATTGTCAAAAACAGTTCAGATTATTTTAAGGTCAAAGTTCTGCAGTCGATAAAGAACATTTATCAAATATAATAATGGTTATGAGAAATTTTTCAATTAACACTATACGCAGGATGCATGAACACTAATATCCTCAATCACATATATAGGACATTATTGGATGACCAAAGGATATCAGAAGACTGAGCTAATTGGCCAGTGGTGATTGATAATTGTGATAAGACGAATCTACGATGATCAACCTGTGTGTTGAGACTGAGCTAATTTGCCAGTGGTGATTGGTAATTGTGATAAGACAGATCTACGATGATCAACCTTTGTGTTGCAAAATATCCATAGCCGGACCAAAAGACAGGTAAAATGTCTGGCTTTCAGCCATGTGAGCTTCTTTCCCTATTACAGATATGCAAAAAACAAAAAGGAAAGTATTACAATCGCGTTATACACGTTCAGGTATTTCATCAGCACCGCATTATAACGCATTCATGCCACTCAATGGTCGATATAACTTATGTAATAACAGTCTGAGAAGCTTAAGCTACTACAACATTTAACATGTGACTGAATGGTGAGTAATTTGACTGCAGAAAGGTTTAAAAATTCTGCCGTCACGTGCTGTATCCAGAATCATCAAAGTTCAACTAAAATAAACAATGTCAACCGAAAATTAGGTGATTCTGTCACTATACTGCCAGGTTAATCCTGAAGTGGGCACTACATCACTCATAACTGCAGGCATGCAAAAAGTAGCCCATGCGTGCTTATGAGAAAAAGAAATGCTATTTTCCCTTCAGTGAGTGGTTCTGTCCAAAGTGAAACAGGGTATATTTAACCTCTCCTGATGCTACCTTGCAACAAATTTTTTTTTTAAAATGTCATTACTGTATGTATCATTGATCTCTAGTTTTCATGCAAAATTAATCCTTACATTAATACAGATCTGAATATAACAAAATGGCTATCAGTCAAAAAGGTTGCTATTAATTACCCATTCCAAGCTAAACCCCCTCCCCTCCCTCCCCCTATACAATTTATTGTTGGCATGTCCCGTGCAAGACTAGGTCAGTCAATTGAGTAACAAGATTGAATTTTTCACAGATCAGTTGTTTACAGCTTAGTCAGTTGACAAGACTACATTCTTGAGTAGCTCGTTACTTTCAAATAATTAAGTGCTGTCAGTTAACAACAAAAATGAGCTTCTTTAAAAACCTCAATCAAAGGCATCAATTCCCTCTTATCTTTAATTTACCTACCACTATCCGTTATCCCTTGTAGTTTGATTACAAATTCTGCCTCTGATATGTTGTTTGTTTTATCACCACAAAGTGTCACCCATATCACTCTACGGTTGAAGCATATTTAGAGAGCTAGGGTTAATCAGTAGCCACAAGAGAAAAATGCAAGGATTGTTTTCTCCTTTGCCGCTGGCAAAGCTTTAGGAAAATGTACATTTTAGTCACTCCAATTTTCCAACAAAAGCCTCTTTTTCCAGTCAAACATCCTTTCATTGGCCATGATGACCCTATAAAGTAGAATCCTAAATTCGTTCATATTTGCTGAGAAAAATGCTTCAATTGAATTAATCTCACTAAAGCAATTTCGACCTAGCAGCTTCCTTACATGCCATTTATTTAAGTGGAGTGACTACTTTTAGTTATTACCTTTCTGAAATACACACAAGAGTCACAAATCACTGAAATGACACAACAGGTGGGTAAAGGAATTTCATTCTTGGGCTGTCTGTGCTGTAAGTATATTAAAAAAAGTAACCAACCTTTGTTCATGGTCTACCTTTTCCACTACAGCCCAAACAGGCTGTTCAAATGAGCCATCACAAGAAATGCACAGTAGATTTCCATATACAAGCCAACTTGCAGATCTGTCACAGATAACATACCGCAGATGTAAACATATACATATCTACATACATTCAAATTAAAATATTTCAGGCAGCCATGTTGTAGTGATAAAGTTTGAATCAATGTGTTTGACAGCAATCAAAGATCAATACCTAACCTAATATTTATTTATTAATTATAATAAAATTATATTTTTTGTCTGGTCTAAGCATTATCGTCATCTCCTATAGGACTGACATCAGTCACTCCTTTGCCAAACTTTCTTAGCTTTAAGAGTTTTTACTTAAATAATCACTGAATTGGCCAAGCCGCACACTCGCAGCACTTTTTCTTTCCTTGATTCATTATTGTAAGTGAGGTGGCTCTCCCATAAGCCTGGTGGCTTCCTGGGTCTCCTTGCCTTCTAGCTGTTGATGACATCATACATCCAAAGACTTTAAACTTAATGAAGAGCTCACCCCCAGTCAATCCTTTCCTCTGAGTTAACAGTAAATTGCAATCCAATTGACATGGTGGTTGGAGAGTTTTCTCGTTTAAGAGTGCGTAGTCCTTTCAGAGTAATCCTAGATGCAATTGCAATCACTATCAACTCTGTACTAGCAATATATAACATATGCGATATCTGAGAGACTTAATGTTACATTAAATCTACAACATAGTTGTGTTGGAGATGGAAGATGAAGATATGAGGAGGAGGAGGGTGAGGGTAAGGGCAAGGATGAGGATGAGGATGAGGTAGAGGAGGGAAGGATGAGGAGGATGGAAGGGGGGATGAGGCTAAGGATGAGGATGAGAATGAGGAGGAAGATTGTGTGGAGGAGGAGGATAAGGAAAAGGATGAGGATGAGGCAGAGCATATGAGGTGGAGGGTGAGGATGGGGTAAGGAAGAGAAGGAGGAGGATGATGAGTTTTATGAGGAGAAGGAGGATGAGGGTGAAGAGGAAGATGAGAATGAGGATGAAGAGGAGGATGAGGATGAAGTAGAAGCAGTGGAACTAATGGTCAATTCAAAAATACAGTCCACTGATTTCTAAATCTACATGTTAAATCACAAGTAATGAAATAGCTACCCATAGGATTGTGTAGAATGAGGCCAAACTATTCTTCATGTACCTAACACATGCTAGCCATAAATTGAAAGTAAATCAAAAAACGTGTTCCCACCTATACATCATCACTTCTTTTGAATCACACTTTCCTTTGCTCAAAAACTGTGAAACTCCATTCTTCAACTTGTGAAAACACTCCTCTCTTAGAAGTGTGAAGTAAGTGTTCAAGTATTCTTTTTCTGAGTGGTATTTGCCTTCTTTCTTGATCACTGGTAAGTCGGTTTTTCTAGATTCTTCAATCAATAGATGAATGATGAAAAAGCTCATTTTATAATTGATAATTAAATGCACCTACCATCATAAGTCTAATGGCAATATACTAAAGGATATACACAATTTTCATTGCTGGTTAACAAATCTGGATTTCTTGTTTGTATAACTTGTCCATCAGTAATAAAATGAGAAAAAAATTACCTAGTAAACCACAGAAAGTAGCATCTGTTTGACTCACATTTGCTTGCACTACACAGTTACTTAAGTTTGAGTAGCGGCTGCTCAAGCCTAGCAAAACGGTTAGCAGGTTTAGTTTAACCAAAAATATATGTTTATTTAAATCATTAATTGATATGCACTGACTTGTTGAATCTTTATGAATTTCTTCACTCAGTAGCAGCAAGGGAAGATCTCTCCATGAAAAAGCCTCAAGATCTGCATGGACCCCTGGCACTGCAATGGCAACCATCAGTGACAACTTTTCCAGGAAGTCTACAGCAGATTTCCCACAAGAGCTGTTCACTAAGCTTTCAGCAAGAACTTTTGCCATGGGTAGAACTCTTCGACCAGAGGAAGGTGAAACATTTAGGACATGTTCTAGAACATTCTGCACCACTTTGAAGGATCCACTGATGATTCAAATAGCAAAATCACTATGTTTTCCTGTTTTGACAATTTGAAAACTAATAACAGATGACAAGAACAAAATAACACCTCCCTTACACTTTCAGCTGTTTGGTAATAAATTAATTGTCATCATATGCTGCCTGAAATGCTTGGCTCAATTGAGTACACATACAGGGATGCCTTGGCTAGGATCCTTAAACAAGATTGATTGATCAAAGAAGCAGGTTTTTGAGCTTATATGCAATCATCCAAGACTTCTCACAAACCATTTTCTGCAAAGGCATCCCTTACTTTGCCTTTTGCTGTCTGGCAATTCATTTTAAAATGTTTAGGTCAGTATTGAAAGCAAAGTGTTGAATGAAACAGATCACAGAGTAGAGATTTGGTATTATAACCTAAACAAGGGTAAAAAAACATGGGCAAGCAATGCCAGGGTATGAAATTCAGACTAATATATAATCATGCACACCACAATCTACTAGCATTTGTATTTAATTGAAGAGGAAAACCATGAATTAAGCTTCAGTTTGTTCTTTGTATTTTATACCCTAGCTAGCCTGTGTCATAATTCATACACATTGATTTTGTAATCTACCAGTAGGTGAAAAAATTTTTTTAAATCTTTGCATGTTCACTTTTTTCAATGCCACCAATATTACCTGATACAATTTTCTTTGGCTAAATTCTCAACTATTTCAGGAAGGACCAATTTGAAGAAGGCACTCTTTGAAAATTCTTGAACAATTCCTTGAACAGTTGGTAGCATTCCTCTCTGAGTACTGGAGCATAACTTATCAATAATAAGTAAGACATTGTGGGCAAAATTTTTCTTGGTTGTGTTGCTATAATCTTCCCAAGGATGTTGAAGGATGTATTCCCAAAAAGCATGACACCTGTTAAGAATGTAAGTGCATTATTATATTAAAGCAACATAACAAAACTATTAGATCAGTCAAGAAGCAAAACAAGAAAAACAAAGAAAAGAAACGAAAATTTTCCTATATATTTGCATATAGTTGGGAATTTTTGAGAATTCCTTCAAATTCCCAGAAAACTGGGAATTCAGTTTGCAAGGGTAATACAAGCCACTTGTTATATTACCTAGGACCTTCTGATCAGTTTTAAAGGTTTCAATATTCATAGAAATATATTGGAGTTGTGAAGACAAAGAATTTTGCCCTTACAATTTGAGTGGTAATAAAAACAATCAGATCACAGCTAGAGAGCCTTGAACTGTGTCTGTTTCAAAAATGTGATAGAATAGGTGGTAAATAACTGGGAATATAACCAGTTTCAGCTCCAGGCTTAATTCCCTTTCCAGGTGGGAAATGGTGAATTTTAATAGTAAATTAAGTCAATTTCCCTGAAATCAGTAGAACACCCAACTGTAAGAAAAACAAACAAACAAATAACAAGAAAAATTTACTAAAACTTCAAGTTAGGGCAAACAAGTGTGAGGCTATAAGGGTCAGTGAATTTTCAGTAAATAACATCATTTTAGTAAATAATAAAACACTGGATATAGTGCTGAAGACACATTCTCATTGGTTACTCAAACTCTGAATATTCTTTAATATAGCCTTTCACTTCTGAGCATCAGTGTGAGTGGGACTAATGCATCCATAAACATATAGTTTAAATCATCTTTTTCTGCCATACTATCTTACTGTTTTAGTTTATAATAAAACAACGGATCTGTAACCTTCACATGTCATCAGAGTCAGTGGCCAGTGGTGGATATTTACCTGGCTGCTTAAAGCTCAGTTTAATAGTTGTTACATATTGTGCATAAAAGTTACTTGCAATAAAATACCCTGTCATCTTTCCCCATTAACATATAAAAATTCACTGTTAGTGTTTCAGTACATACAGTTAAAGACTAAAGGAATGAATCATCAACTGATATATATGTGCCCTATTTTATATAATTTCATGATTTCAACAAACATTCAGTTAGTTAAATGGAAGGTTAAGCAATTCAATTTGAACAAACTAAGATTATCATAATTGTGTGGTCTAAAGTATTTTATCTACAAAAAAAGGATTTTTTATGTTCTATATGTTTAATAGGCCATTTTATAGTTGTGTACTTAGTTGCCAAGCCTTTGATTTGGAGTGAGGCTGAAGGTGATTTTGTTGTGATAGAGACCAGCATCTAGTTAGCATGATAACAAATTAATTTGCATTTGAAAAGCAGCAAGGTTTGTATCATAACAAGATGACCCTTAGCCTCAATCCTGTTCAAAGGCTTGGCAACCAAGCACTGTAAAATGGACTATTACCTGGTAGTAAAACTGGATTTGAGTAAGTAACTCAAATTTGGCCAATAAGCTGGGAACTAGAAAGACAATTGAACCAATTTATGTCTTAAAATAAGAGGCACTCTGCTGCTTGCAGGATACTGCAGTTGCTGTGACTTGTTATAGGATGTGATTAAAAAAAAAGAGAGCAAGCACATGGATAATTGGTGTTTTGTGGTCGTCAACTTGTAACTGATAGTTTTTTGCCATGCAAAAGTCTCTGTATTGAGTAAATACACAATTCATTTACCAGTAACTGCCCTGGAATCAGGTTATTTATTGACATTATTTACCTTAGCAGCTCAGCTGTAGCAGCAGATGACCCATCACTTTTTACCCTATGCACATGGTTGAGAAATGCTTCAATCTCTTTCTCAGATAATTTGTAACAGCTGAAAAGTGAAAGCATAAAAATCAACCCTTTAGGTACCATTTATTCAGCTGACCATCCAAAGTCAATTAAATATACTTAAGGTGAAACAGTTCTTCATTTAACCAATGCCTGTCTTTTGAACAATCTGGTCATGTTGTGAGAAGTTGGGTGATGATAACTTATGGAAGTTAAGGGTGTGTAATGTATTATGGTACTAACCCATGTCACTGCCCAACTTAAACCCCAAGGGTCAGAATAGCATCTAATTTCTCCTCACAGTATCACCCCTGAATCAAACATGGAGGTCATGAGAATAAAGAAAATGATCACCAACTAACAAAGCTATTGATTGTTACCAAATTCTCCTTGTCAGCACCTTATGAAATATATAGAGAACAGTTTAGAGAATATGCAAACTTATTTTAAGGTGGAAAGGGTTTGAATTGTCCATCAAAGGAAGTCTTTTATTTGCAATAGATAAGAGACTTCTATTGATGGATAATTCTTTTTCATTTCTAACATTAATATGTTAAGCGGTGTCGTTCCTGATCATGTTATCTGCTCACATACAATTTTTTAAAACGTATGTACTCAACCTACCAAATAATTTCTGGCTCCAGAGCTATTTCAGTTCCTTTGGGACCTTTTGCAATCTCAAGAATGTCACCCACTTTAAGAAATGCTCTGCTGACATCATCTGCGCCAAACGTTTCAAGGTCGAGAAGAAGCTCGACTTTTTCATACTCCTTTTTTCCATTAAACATGCAGGTTTTATTCACCAAAATCCATGCTTCCCGGTTTGTCTTTCGGATAACAACACCCTCTACCTTGAAATCATCCTGCCCAAAAATATTAACAAGAGAAGTTCCGCTTTCACTTTCCTTGCGTTTATCTGCAGCCTCTTCTGCGTATGTATAACCTTCAAGCTCGCGAAAAAACTGTGGTATCGTTTTATGGGTCAATTTGAAGTTTTCCGACTTCTTCTTGTCAATGAACACCTTCAGTAACGCCTTTCGATATCTGTACGTGTCATGGTAAGTTTCAAGTTTGTAACAAGAGCTATCTTTGATAGTATTTTTCCCTCTTGTAGCTATTTTCACGCTAGTAAAGAATTCCTTGTAACGCTTCTTGTAATCTTTCAGGAGCAATCCATCTTCGCAAAATTTATCGATATCTTCATTCGCCATATTTTCCATGAAGGTATGATACCTTTATGGAAAACTTCCCACTGAGGTTGTCCACAAGTTGTAACCTGAGGGAGGGGGATGTTGGAGAGCGCTCAAGTCTTCACTAAGTATCACGCGGAAGTGTTGATCTGGGTGAGTATAACTTGTATCCGCATTTAGTTAATCTTCTTGTCTCGGCTCAGGAAAGTGGGTTCTGGGACCCACTACAGAGAAGAAGAGAAGAAAGAAGATGTTGTGCACTTGAAAACTTAGTCTTCCCCTGTTAGGAAATATCTCTTCAATATATAATTGTGTTTTTCCCGGAAAGACTGGGCGTCAAGTCAGAGGTCAATTTCGATGAATCGCTATCCTTTAGCTTCTCAGTCGTTTGTTTCAGAACAGGAAATACATCCTTTTCCTCGTAACTTTGCCGTAATTCGCTGAACCAAAACGTCAAGAAACACGTTCCTCATAAGATCATTAAG